GGCTGCTGCTGTATGTTTCGGCCTTTGGCTTCCTAGTGAGATTTTCAAGCAGCAGTAGAAAGAAGTTAGTCAGATGCTAAAGCAATCTTCTAACTTTCCACAAGTTATCTTCTGGAAGTTAGAAGATTGCTTCTTCATTTCCAGCTCTTGGTCTACTAACTAGAAGAAAGCGCAAAAAGGAGCTTCGAGATGAGATGAAAGTTTCAGAGCAAGAGGTTTCACTCTGGAGAAGTTAGTATCACTTGATAAACACTTGAGGGACTCATCATCAACTAGAACTTGCAGTTGCAGCTGTTGAAGCTAGCAAAGAGAAACTGTTATACTCTACTATTTCTGATATGGAGGATGTGATCGAGGATCTTAAACTAGAAAAGCTGAAAAATCTGTAGATATCTAGAAGAAGAGGGAGAAATATACACAACAATGAAAAGTGAAAACAGCTAAAAAGATATCGCAAGATCATGAAAAACTGGTCATGCAATTACTGATAAACAAGTAGCAAGACATTAGGCGGACCTACGTGGGGATTAGGGGGGGTCAGTTGACACCGGTTAAAAATCAAAATTCAAAATTGGAAGCCTGAGACAATGGAATTAGGCGGCTCTGTTGGTAAATTTCTTTAAGTTGACACCCCAAACCGGGGTTCAAATCTCTACCATGCACCCATATATTTATTTTTTGTCATTCAAACTTGGGTTTTATTGCTTGAGCTCATGTAATATTTTAAATATATAGAAATTAAAGCCCAAATTATTTATACGTGGGGCTAAATTACCAAGTAAACATTTTGTTTATTTATTTGTGGGGCTAAATTATCAAGTAAACATTTTGTTTTGGTTTTGGGCCAACAAATTGCAATCACAAATTGTGTTTTGTTTTCTAATATTTGCAATTATACTGTTTTAATTTTTTTTTCTTTACGATGATAAACAATATCAGTATATATATTTAATAATATTTTCATTATTTCATATTAATTTTATTTTTGGTTATATGCTTGTATATTGTTTATATAAATGATGTTTTCATTTAATTTTCTCTAGAAAATATTTTTTATTTGTTTTCATCATCAAAATGAAGTTGTTTTCTGCTTTTATGTTTACTTTGATATTGTAACAGTTAGTTTTTGTGTACATATATTTATATACTTTCTTTTAACAAAAATAGTTATATACTTATTTTTTATAATAAGATATTTATTACTAAATTAAACTATTTATCACTAAAATAAACTATTTATTCGCATTTTCCACGCGTAGCGTGAAGAAAGAATCTAGTATATATAATAATAATATAATACCCCTTGAGTTAGAGCAAGAGGATATTCACGACGGTAGTTGACTCGGACGTCTAACATTGGCACAAAAAGTGATGCAACCATATTTGCCTACAACATGAAAAGCGGAAGGAAAAAAAATATAAAACTGATACATGACAACGGTTAGATGATTTAGCCTTTCTATTAAGTTGTATCCTTAGATAAGGGTTTCATATGATTAATAATAAAGAATATTCCAAAAATTAACTTAACTACTAAGAGAGATTAGGTTAAAAGGAAGTAAGCTTTTTGGTTCATATAACAAGTGCATATGAATAACTATAAAAACTTACTTACAGAAGGCTTGAAGAGATGTGTTGCATTCTGATCACACATTACATTAATAGATGACTTCCAATTTATGAAAGGGTATCGGTCCATGACAGGAGGTGCTTCCTTCACATTTCCAAACATTATACCGATGGAACTGTTACGATCATGAACGAATTCTTTGTTATCCACAAAGGGTTTGATTAGACTCAAGCAATTACTAAGATTCAGTTTCTCAAGGTTAATGGCAGTTGAGAAATCAAGAAGTTCGTTCAAGTCAAAATTACTCAAATCCATCCACTTGAAACTATGAAACAGCTGCCGAGACAAATAACATGAACATAGTTGTTTTATACACTTCAGTAATGAAATAGATGAGAACCCCACATCAAAATAACCTAAACGGGTGTGACAAGATCAGTTTTTTCTAGCTCAAAATTGTACAAATATTGTACTAGATTTGAAACAAAGTGAGATAACTAAAAACAATTTACTCATTCCCACAACTTCTGAAGCTTGCTCTCAACCATATAATTATATACTTTCTTTTAACAAAACAATTATATACTTATTTTTTATAATAAGATAATTTTCTTTAAATTATCATAAAATAAAATTTTAAATCATAATATAATATATAATAATAATTATTTAATATTATTTATGACACCGGTTAGAAACAGTTCTGTTCCGTAGTAGTTTCATCATCATAGAGGATACTTAGATACTAGAGTCTTTCTATTGCAAATATCTAACATGTCAAAAGCGATTCACGTCTGATTGGTAACACAAGAAAAATAGAAACTCTCTACTCGGTCACCTCTTTTTCTTGCAGCAAAGAGAATCCTGAAAACCAACACTCTTAAATAATATGAAAGACTATCATTTGAATTTAGCAATAAAAGAAGTTGATAATACCTATTTATTGATAGGTACAAGATGCACTGATTTGAGAATGATTGATATCACATGAGTCCACTTTGGCTGAGACTTCAAACTTGAATTTTTTTATCCACACGGTATGAAAAGTTGATTGTGCTGGTTTTGTTGGTGTCATAGGCCACTTGTATGCCTTTTAACGACTGGACGTATAGGATAGCATCATATTTACGCTTAAAAGAAGGGATATGTAACATATGTTGCAAAATGGATTACAAGAGACAAGTCTAATTTCTCATTTGGTTTCCAATATGGGTGTTTTTGTGTGGATTCATTCTAGAAAATAAATGTTCTACAAACCTTATGAGATACTCTAATGGAAAACAAGATTGGTTTACACTTCTTGAAATTTGGGACTTTTGGTTGTTGATTAAATATAAACAGAAATACTTGATTTGTTATATATTGATAAGTATTATAAAATATTTAAAACTAAAAGGACAACTATATGAATTTTAACTCAGTAAATGATAGTAAAATTAATACAGTAGAATTAAACAATATTTAATCTTTCAAAATTATATGAGGATAAATTTATAACTTTATAAATAATTTTCAACATATAATTGTATTTTTAAAACATAAACAATTAACAAAACTATAACCATATTCGAAATTCCGCGCTTTTAAAAGTGCGGATCAAAATCTAGTGAAAGGTTGAAAGATCAGTTCTTCACTAATTATAATACCTTAAGAAGATGGAAAAACTTCTTCTATAAGCAATTACTAGATCATAACCCGCCCGACTGGGCGGGTCTTGGTTTTTATGGTATATATAACATTTCAAAATTACAATTTAATGGTGCCAATTTTACTAAGTAATAATATATTGTTAAACATTGTATTTCATTATTGTATTGTGTAATAGGGGCGTCTTAAAATATTGTGACCCGTAAACATTTTAGTAATATTTTATAAAGTTTTTTGACTAAATTTGGTGTAAAGTTATATACACTAAATAATTTAGTCAATAATTTTTAATGAAGAATTGGAAGGCTAATATATCACTGTTAAAAACTTATAAGAATAGTCAATATAAATTATATCAATAAAAGATATATTATTCTTGATTTATTCTAAATACATTTAAAACATAAATACATATATGTATAAATCTATTATATTAAAAGAGAAGTCACAACTTCTCCTCATGTGTGATATTTTAAAAAATGGACTATCCTTAGAAAATCCTTTAAATACATATCATTTAATTCTCTCAATATAATCTATTATACTAAATAATATTCTTAAAATCAGTTATTGAACAAGAAATAAATCTGAGAAAAAGGAGGAACAATACCAGATTTTTATGTGGTCAACAACTTCATACATATATTAAAATGAAAATAAACACCCGCGCGGTTGCGCGGGTCAAAATCTAGTAATTTTTAAAAGTAAAATAATATCAATGATAGAAAAACCAAAAACAATAATAATGGTACCTTGGGCCCCAATAATCTTTAGTATAATAAATAAGCCCATTAAATTTGTATGATATCCATGTTTCCAATCAAACTTTTAAAATTTTCTTATTCATGTTTCCAAACACTTTATTTTTGTACTTCAGCTTTAATAGTATAGATGTCTCAGACATTAGATTCTTACAATGAATTTCTTTTTGTGAGCCAGCTACATAAAATGATCTCAAAAGACTCATTTGATGGTATGAAGATTGTACTATAATACTACAACTAAAAGAAGTTAAAATAATTATTATGACCATTATTTACTGTACAAGAAAAATTAATATTTATGTTTTGTGCTAATAAAAGGACACTAAAGACACAATAAGCAAAGATCTTTCATCAAGTTTTACAAAGATTGACTGATCACCAAGTTTCACATACTTTTTTAGAAATACAGTGTTTCCAATCCAAACAAAAAATCAAAATTTATGACACTAAATTAAACTATTTATCACTAAATTAAACTATTTATTCGCATTTTCCACGCATAGCGTGGAGAAAGAATCTAGTATATAATAATAATATAATACCCCTTGAGTTAGAGCAAGAGGATATTCACGACGGTAGTTGACTCGGACGTCTAACATTGGCACAAAAAGTGATGCAACCATATTTTTTTTTTTGTAAAAAAAAAAAAAAAAAAAAAAAAAAAAAAAATATGGTTGCAACCATATTTGCCTGCAACATGAAAAGCATTACGGTGAGCCGTAAGGAAGTTTCTTGGTATTTGGTAAGATAAATTTATATATATATATATATATATATATATATATATATATATGTGACAGTTATTCACATATATCCTTTTAAGTAATCAGTTGCTTCTATTTTCACGCTAGGATGATGGTACTGCTCGAGTGAATATATGTGATTACCAATATGCCAAGGGATTTTATGATACATTAAAAGAGTACTTCTCTACTGAATCAGTCATTACATACTTAAAAATCATTGGTTCTGATTTGATCAAAAATAAAGAAAGCATTCTTTCTGATGACAAAGAAAAAATGATGGTGGTAAGTAAATTCCCTTTTGTCTTTTATTTCTCTAATTCGCCTGGGTGGGGGCTTAAATAACTATGCTGGTGTGTTTTTTTTTTTCTTTTTAGATTACTAATGCTGATTGTCGGAAGTGTCAGCAAGTTCTTGAGATCGGCACGGATTTGACGGTTGTTGGTAGGGTAAGTTTAATCTTCATTTCATGGTTTCATTTAGTAGCTAATTGAATGTGAAATTTTACTACTACATCTACTCTAGGCTGTGAGAGACAAAGATGGAGCTCCCATGATAGGACACGTATATCAGCTCTTCAGTGGACATATACAAGTTGAAGAATTCGTTGCTGATCTGGAAGCAGAATCGGAGTAAGAAACACACACATATATATGTATCTTATTATTACTGAAAGATATATATATATTCTCTGAATGTCTCTCTGTTGTCACATTTTGCAGGAGCGATAGGACTTTATCCTTATGCGTAACAGTTCTGGGTGCGGTTTTGCTTGTTCTGAGCGCGCATAATGCAAATTGACGGAGATGGCATCGGGGTAAAATATCGCAATGAACAAGCTATATATATATTACTGCCTTTTGTTTTGTTTTGGTATTAAGATTTCATTATCTATTAGTCGCTGACTTTATATGTTTATCAATCAGAATTCAAAAGAACGTGAGTGTGTTAGATATGATAATGTAAGCGAACATGTGTGTATATTGATCTTAATCTTATATGCTTGTGGGGGTGGTGGTTATCTTTTATAATTTGTATTTACGAAATACTTCTTTTTCTTGTCAAATATGATATTTGTAATGTAGTAAGGAATATTTATATTATACATAAGAATGACTCAAATCTCTAGTTAGCTGGTAGTAGCTTTTAATTTATGAACGAAAATCTGCTAACTAATTAGTTAAATACAAGAACACTTTTTATGATAAAAACAAACACAAGAAACAGTCAAGAAGTTCTGGATTAGATATATGCCATTTTCTTGACCTTCTGAGATCCATTCACCTGCCATTGGTTTTTTAGTTCTGGATTAGATATATGCCATTTTGTTGACCTTCTGAGAGCTATTCATCTACCGTTGGTTTTGAGTTTTCCGAGGAGAAGCAGGGGGAGGATGGACTCTACACTGAGTGCAAAAAATATTCATAACGCTGGCGTGCAGCTCAAGCCTGCAGACATCAACACCTGCTCACTAGACATAAGCTTCACCAATGGAGTTCTTACTATTCCCAAAATCAAGATCAGTGACATCACAGAAGCCCTTTACAGAAACATCATCTTGTTTGAGCAATGTCATCGCTTAGATGCTTACTTCTTCCACTATATGAGGTTCCTCAGCTGCTTCCTCAGATCCCCCATGGATGCTGAATTGTTTATCGACTGTGGGATCATCGTGATCAGGCGTGGAAATGCAGAAGACATTTCGAGGCTGTTCACTACCATATTGAAGGAGGCAACTCAGACAAGTTACAGCGGGTTTTATTATCAGACAGTGTATGAGAATCTGCAGGGGTATTGTAACAGGCCTTGGAACAAGTGGAAAGCAACTCTGAGACGTGATTATTTCGACAATCCTTGGTCAGCTGCTTCCGTTGCTGCTGCTGTTTTTCTTCTGGTGATGACTTTCATACAGGCTATATGCTCTATATTAGCATTAGATCTTGTGAGAAAGTGATGTGATAAATCATGATTTGCATTGTTTCTCTGTCACTCTAATATTCTCCCTTGTTATTTAATTTGCTTCGAGTTTAACTCCCTGTTTCTAAAAAGTGTCATCTTCTCAACTTGATCATTAGTGAGATATGTTAATTCAAATAATGAAGACAAAAGTGTCTGTAGTCCAACGGTTTGGATATTTGCCTTCCAAGCAATAGATCCGGGTTCTACTCCCGGCAGACTCATTTTTAAAAAATCCTTTTTTTTCCGGCTGCTGGCTGTTGATGGGCCTTTTCTTTAGGGCTAATTTGCGAGATAGCTAAGATTGGAAGTATAATTAGGTAACTGACTATGATTTTGACATAATTGAATCAATGACATTTAACACACATATGATCCGGTTCTACCCTCTATTATAACAAGTTGCCGGTGAAATAGAAGATATAGATTACGTTGAGTGTAATTTATGTGGTCCAAATTAAAAGTGAATTAATGGTAACTTATGAAAGAGAAGAGAGCCACGTCACTTTATTATTTATCGCATACATAATTACTGTGTGGAATAAAAGTGTGGCTTAAAATAGAATTCTTTCCAATACATCTTGTATTCCATTTACCAACTTCAATCATTCTATTCTATTTCACCAAAATATGTTATGACAATAGTCTCATTCATACTCTAAATAATAAAGACTACACAGAAATAGATACCTTAATCCAAGGTCAACCCCAATCTTCCATAAACTAAACCATAGACACAGATCACTAAACCTTACGTGAAAATATAAATCCTAATCTAAACCTCAATCCATTGCCGGTTAACCCCTTTCTTATGATAATCTTTTTCATTTTCTCACCTTAATCTCCTACTTTTGTATAAACCCTATAAATTGTCATTTAAAAGGGTATGGACGCTAATCACTAAACAAAAATTAAGAAAATATAAACCCTAATACATTGGCGATTAACCCCTAAACAAAAATTAAATTCCATTACATTCTTTAACTACTGTATTCCATACAAATGAGTATATTATCCAGTATGGTACATGTCTCCTGCTATATCGGTCGATCTATTCCACTGGATTCAAACCCTGTGGCGAACAATCTACTTGGAAGGCCCAAATCGTCCATGTCAGACCTAACATAAAAAACGAGGGGAATATAGTTAGTATAAAGTAGATATACAATGATGTAATCAAAGTAAACATGATGGTAAAGTGAAGCAGGGTGGACATATAATATTGCAGAACAATCCATGTGGAATCGAACAACCGTGAATGGATAATACGGAAGTTCAATACCATCCAGAATGGAACAAACTACAGACGTTCCATTCCATTCAGAATAGTGAACCATCCAAATGGAATGGAATATGTATCCAATCAAACAAACATTGTATATATAATACATTCGGTGTTCTCTATCACGTATATTAACCAAAATGTCAACTGTATGGAATAATACAACCACTAAATATTAAACCATAATCGCAAATAAGTTAACACTAAACCAAAATATAAACCATCAACCCAAATGTAAACCAAACACCTCAGATAAACGCTACATCAAATGGAATGACACATAGTCAAATAACATAGTACGCAATGGTATGGAATTATCATAAATTTGTGAGCGTAAAATTACAATCCATGATAGGGTCACTAAACCCAAACCTCAACCCCCCCTTCCAAATACTAAACCCTAAATCCTAACCACTAAACCCTAAACCCAAATATAGACCCTAAACCCAAATATAGACCATAAACCTAAATAGAACGAAACAAAATAGATAGACAACATCATATGAATATCATTTCTTTCAACATCACATTTTATTTTGTTTCCTTTGATGTCATAATAAATGCTATTCTTTTTACGTCAAATATATTGTTTCTCTTTACAAAATCATATACACACTAATATAAAACACATATATATGTACTGATACAAAACTTATGTCAATAAAACATGAAACAACAAAAACAAGATTGAACCATCTTTCGGTTCTCTTCCCTCGCGCAAGACCTTAGTCTTTTCATGTCGGTAAAAGTCAACTATTTCACCACAATTGAGTCCATGCAAAACTGAAAAACAAAGTAAGAGGGAAACATGGTTATAAATATGTCTCAAACAATCTACTTGAAGGCCTAATTCTTCTTTGGTAAACTTGAAAAACAAATTAAAAGGAAAACATGGTTATAACAGAGTAATCCATTGTATTTTATATAGAAACGAACTTTTTATAATTCAAACAATACAATGATGAAGAACGGTAGTGTATTCAATACATATCATGCAACTTTATCTCAAATAGAATAGTTTATCAATCGATTCTATCTCAAATAGAATAGTTTGAACATATAATATTTTCTATTCTATTTCAAATAAAATATGCATAAAAGATCTCACGCTGACAATTTGTATTGCATCTGCTTCAATACAACAAATGAAATTGACCATAATGCAAGGTTATTCCACACAGTAAATTAAATTAGTATACTGTGTCATTCATATATCGAAGAAAACACAGTTATAATGTACGTAACACAATGAGTAAACCATAAACTATACTATTCTAATGGAAGAGAAAACACAATCAAATGGAAATGCATCCAAGCCAAATAGAATAGAAAGTGAATTTGCACAGACAAAGAGACGGTGAAGAGAATCTACGGAGAACAAGGAGAATTTATGGGAGTTTCAGAGACTTAATTCCTATAACAAAGTAGAAATATAATTGACAATAAAACGACATGAAGAGAAGAAACTAGAGAACTTACCATCTGTCAATCGATTAGAGATGATTGGAGTTTCATAAGTTTCCTTGAACACTGGTTGTGAGAAGTGGAATTGAGACGGGTTGTTGATTGGCGCCGCTGCGGAGTTACCACCATCGATTGGGAGCCGATTTCATCACCGGAGGAGAGGACGAACTTGATAAGCACGAATGAGATGTGAAGATTTGAGGTGAAGAAGGCGAGGCAATGGGGATAAATGAAAAGAAAGATGTGGAAGACAATAATGCACGAAGTGCAATTTTACACCTAATAATAATTGTTTAATTTTTTTTTCTGCAGGTTTCACCGGTTAAAAGAAAGGACAAAATTGTATTAATATAGAAAAGTAACAGTGTCAGTGGATCTGTTAGGGTTTTTGGCTACTTCACCAATTAGTCCTTTTTGTCTTGCTATATGGCCCAATTTCCCTTTTCTTTACAATAAACTTTTTTTGGTCAACTTTCAATAAAAATACTCTTAAACCCACAAGTAAATTGCAAATACATTTACTATTATCCCAATAATAATTCGGCGGATTCATCAGTCTTTCATCTTTCAGCGAAACCCTAAAAGAAAAAACACGAATTCATCTGAGCCGATTACGTACGTATTTGAGTCCTGCATGTATTTGATTTGTTCGTTCGTTTTAGTTCAACATAAAAGTGTCCCCAATCCTTTTTCTTGCAGATAATGGATCCGAAACCTCTTGCTATTGCTGGTGTATTATGCTTAGGCTTAGGCTTAATTCTGAGCAGCAGTAAAAAGAAGTTAGTCAGTTCCTAAATCTAAATTCTCTGCTCTTGTTGAAAAATAATTTTACACACTATTGATTTTTTTTCACTCAGCACTTCTGAGCTTCTACGTCGAGCTATACTCGTGAATGACCTGAAAGGGTTGGGTAATGTTTTTTTTCTTTTTAGTTTGAAAGGACTATTCGGTATGTTTTTTTTCTGGTTTGTAAAAATTGATGCAATTCCATAAAATTTTCAGGGGAATGTCTTGAAGATAATAAGGAGATAGAAAACCTCACTGTTTTGGTATGTGGAACAGTTGGATCAACCTCGACCGTGGAGAACAGCTGTTTGGGAGTTTTCATCAAGGAAACGGTAATATTTTTTGTTTGTTATCCATCCAAGAGAGACATTGACTGAATAATGTTGTTGGTGGTGCTCCTTCCTTCAGATTACACTTGATATAGAGAAGCTGGATGCCTTTGGTTCAGTAGAACCGGAATCTAAAACCATTACGGTGAGCCCTAAGGACAGTCTGGATAAAGAGGAGATGAATACCTTTGGTTCAAAAAAAAAGAACGCATTTGGTTCAGTAGAACCGAAATCTGAAACCATTACGGTGAGCCGTAAGGAAGTTCCTTGGTATTTGGTAAGATATATATGACATTTTCTTTTTCTTTCTCAAATCCACAAACATACATATATATCCTTTAAGTAATTAGTTTCTTCTATTTTAACGATAGGATGATGGTACTGCTCGAGTGTATGTATGTGATTACCAAAATGCCAAAGGATTTTATAATACATTAAAAGAGTACTTCTCTACTGAATCAGTGATTACATACTTTAAAATCATTCATTCTGAATTGATCAAAAAAAGAAACAGAAACATTCATTCTGATGGCAAAGAAAAAATGCTGGTTAGTACTTCCTTTCTGTCTTTTATTTCTCTAACTCGCCTGGGCGGGCTTAAATAACAATGTTGGTGTGTGTTTTTTATTTTTAGATTACTGATGTTGATTGTCGCAAGTGTGTGCAAGTTCTTGAGATTGGCACGTATTTGACGGTTGTTGGTAGGGTAAGTTTAATCTTAATTTCATGTTGATTTAGTAGCTAGTTGAATGTGAAATTTTACTATTACATTTACTCTAGGCTGTGAGAGACAAAGATGGTTCTCCCATGGTAGAACAGGCATATCAGTTCTTCAATGGACATATACAACTTGACGAATTTGTTACTGATCTGGAATCAGATTCGGAGTAAGAAACATATATATATATATATATATATATATCTTATTATTACTGAAAAAACGGAAGACATATATATTCTCTGAATGTTTCTCGTTGTCACATTTTGCAGGGGCGATGGGACTTTATCGTTCTGCGTAATGGCTCTGGGTGCGGTTTTGCTCGGTCTGAGCATAATGCAAATTGATGTTGATGGTAAAGGATCGCAATGAACAAGCTGTATATTACTTCCTTTTGTTTTGTTTTGGTATTAAGATTTCGTATCTATTAGTCGCTGACTTTATATGTTTATCAGTCAGATTTAAACAAAGAACATGAGTGTATATTGATCTTAATCTTATATGCTTGTGGGGGTGGTTATCTTTTATAATTTGTATTTGCTATGTAATTCTTTTTCTTGACAAATATGATATTTGTAATGTAGTTTGGAATATTTATACATAAAAATGACTCTCAAATCTCTAGTTTTTTGTTTGTTTGAAAAAGAATCTCAAATCTCTAGTTAGCTGGGAATAGCTTTTAATTTATGAACGAAAAGCTATTACCTAATAAGTTAAATACAAGAAAAAATTTTATGACAACAACACACACAAGAATCCTAGGGTTAAAGTTGAGCCTTCGAATCGAACTTTGAATTCATTTCAATATGGGGAATTGACATTCATCGCTTTTAAGTTCCAGAAGCAAAGAAATTTGAACAGAAAATCTACCAACCAAAATTGTCAACAAGATTTGTAAAACCCATAATCATTATTAACATATAATATCAGTGAGTATATGTTAACCAAACACCACCAAACCATTCCAAAAGCAAGAAGTTCTATAAGCTTTAGTCGTCGCAGTCATTTTTTTACTTGGAGAACTCTATGAGTACGCTCACAGCTAAAATAGACACACCGATACCAGTTAACCACAAGAACACCTTCCGACAACGCCTGCAAAAATGAGAAACAAAAAAAAAAACTCTCTTAATTAAGAGGAAACAAATATGAGGTTATCTCATCTCCCAAATGAAGTAACGTCAAATGTTTCTTACTCTGATTTTGATTTCAAATCAGAAACCAATTCAGCAAAGTCTATACGTTCATTAGAGACCTTATAGACACGTCCGATGGTGGGAGCCCCATGTTTGTCTCTTTCAGCCTATAGAGGAGTCAACACAAAGGTAAAATACCATATTCAACTAGCTCCTAAGTGAAATCACGAAAGTGAAACAAACAAAAACAGGGTGTGACTTACCTTACCAATAACCATCAAAGGCTTACCAATCTCAAGGACACGCTCACAACAGCTTTTTGGGACAAACTAAAGAAACAAGACAACAACACTGTTAGGAAAAACTGAAAAAAATAAAATACATGGTAAGGAACAGACAAGTAAGTAGGTACCTTGACGTCCTTGGAAGAAAAAAACCTTTCAAAGTGTTCCATCACTGGTTCAGTAAAGACATATTTATTTAGGGTATCATAAAATCCCATGGCAAATTTGGCTCCCGTAACAGAAACCCGAGTGGTACCGTCATCCTAATGAGGAAAAAACAAGAAGAAGCTAAATTACTTTAAAAGGAACCACTGGCTAAGAGTTTGTGGCATTGAGAAGAGAAGAATGTGAGGCGAAAACATCTTACCAAATACCAAGAAACCTCGTTACTGTACAACATAACCCTTTTAGAATCCCTTTCTGAATCAGTACAATTATAATTAATTGTGGCCTGAATGAAGCAACGCAAAAAAAAGATTTCAAGACTGAAGAAACACATTCATATCCAAGAGAAACCAAGCTAAGCATTATTATTTTAGATTTACGGTTTCCTCAGAAAAAACACACAAAGCGCCACTACGGGTAGTTTCTACGGCTGAGTTTGATCCAACTGTTCCAAATATCGCAACAATAGGGTTGCATAATGGCTCCTTTTCCAGAAGATCCCCTGAAAAAAAATTCAATAAACCCTATCAGAAACTTATTACACACGCCATCAACCGTACAAAAACCCTACCCAATCCTTTAAGCTCGTCTATTTGGGCAATTCTGGCTAGACCCTTAGCATTCCTGTGCAAAAGAATTAAAAATCGGATGAGAAGAAATCTTTTTTTTTTTCTAAACAGATATTGATTCGACTAACATCTTTTCGCTCCAGCTGTGAAGCCCAAATAGGATGCCAACGCCAATGCACGCGGCTGCAATTTCATTCATCTTCACCGACGGTAAGCGAACAGATCAAACTCGAATGCTTTACAGAATCGATGCTTGGAGCAGGGTTTAGGGTTTCGCTACTCAAAAGTGTAACATTCCAGTGGGCTTTTGTTTATCCAGCCCATGTAGAATTTTCAAAGAACCCGAGGCCTGAACAATTTTCCCACGGCTTCGTGTTGGTGGTAAATAATTAAAGAAACTAGTTGCATATTCCCCGCGCAAGCGCGGGGTCGGGATCATTATGTTTGCGTGTATTTTTTTCGATTGTTGGTTTAGTGGATTTTTCTAATGACACCAATTAATAATGAAATGGAAAATTTCATGTTTTTATATCGTATGTCAAAACTTGATATAATTCTATATTTATAGTATTTATATTTCTATTAAACGATTTATCAATATGAAAATAACCTTAATTAAATTAATATTTGTTGTTTAAGTTTCATTAGATAGGTTTTTATATATGGTTTTTTGTAAGTTTCGGTTTTGTTCATAAATGATGTGGCATTTTTATCTACGGAATCATCGACTGTGGGAATTCATTCGCAGAAATCTGGAGTCGGTGGTGAGAAATGTTTTCAATGAAATTATAGTAGTTATTAAAATGTAAGAGAAATTACATATTCATTTAATGAATAACTTACTTAAATTTTGTTTTTTATTTTATTTCACATACAATTTTTTTTGAAAAATATTAGGAATGTGTTAAATGTTAATTATATGCGAAGTAAGGTTTATAGGAATAGTTAGGCTATAATATAGTTTTTAGTGTGTAAAAGTAGGTGTATTTTTTTTTGCTGTAAATAGTTTTTATATCGTAGATCAAAACTTGATATAATTCTATATTTATAGTATTTGTATTAAACGATTTATCAATTTAAAAATAACCTTAATTAAGCTAATATTCGTTGCTTAAGTTTCATTAATTAAATAGGCTTTTAATTATATATGTTTTTTTTGTAAGTTTGAGTTTTGTTCATAAATGATGTGGCATTTTTATCTACGGTGTCATCGACTGTGGGAATCCATTAGTCGGAGTCTGGAATCGGTGGTGAGGAATGTTTTCAAGGAAATTATAGTAGTTATTAAAATGTAAGAGAAATTATATATTCATTTAATAATAACGAAAATAATTAATTTTTGTTGTTTTATTTTATTTTATTTTATCTCACATACAAATTTTTTGAAAATATATATTAGGAAATATGTGCAATGATTTAACTTTTTGAGCTCCTAATCTATATTATTCAACCCTCATTAAGCCATCCACGTATGCACCCGCGTGGAATTCACTTTTTTTTTTTTGTCTGTTCGTTTTTGGATTTATTTTTATTTTTGGGTTGAGTTATATTATAATAGGATAGTTTTAACCGCGTAGGCAACCACGTGAGACTTGTTTTTTTGTTTTTTGTTTTATTATTCGTTTTAGATTCATTTTTAACTATTTTGGGTTTGAACTTATTAAGGTTTAGGGTTTATACAACTATTTTGATCTTTAAAACAATAAGCCAAAAAAAAACATAAGAACCTTATAAACAAAAAGCCCATATGATAATAACCTAAAAAAAAAAAATCAAAAATACATGATAGCTGTGTGGTTTGAACCCACAATCTTGCATACTTAATTAGACACCTTATACCACTTGGCTAAAGTGTATTTCATTGTTTGTAACCATTTTACCAAAACTATGTGTGTTTAAAAAATATTTTTATGATGATGACATTAATTGGTTTATGCATGAGAGCAATGAGAATTGAACCCATGTCTTTGGAGACCAAACATGGGGTCTTAGACCACTTGGCTAAACTGATATTCTTTGTTTATAGCCATTTTAAAACAACTATTTATTTTAATATAAAAATATGGGACCCACAATCTGTCTATTTGGACACCTTAAAGAGCTTTTAAACTGAATCATTATAATATAGATTGTGTACCTGATCATCAATGATCATCAAGCCTTTCTTTTTCAAAAATATTTTTCAACTTCCAATAAAATTTTCTCAAACCCACAAGTAAATAGATTTACTATTATCCCAAAAATATAATTCGGAAGATTCAATCATTCATCTTTCAGCGGAACCCTAAAAGAAAAGCGAATTCATCTGAGTCGATTACGTATGTGTTTGATTTGTTCGTTCGTTTAGGTTCAACATAAAAGTCCCTAAATCCTTTTTATTGCAGATGATGGATCTTGGTGCTGCTGGTGCTTTATGCTTAGGCTTTGGCTTCTTTATGAGGATTTTAAGCAGTAGTAAAACGACGTTAGTCAGTTCCCTGCTCTTGTTTTAAAATAATTCACACTATTGATTTTCCACTCAGACTAAGGACTAGTGATCTTCTACGTCGAGCTATTCTGGTGAATGACCTGAAAGGGTTGGGTAATGTTTTTTTTTTTTTTTTTAGTTTGAAAGGATTTGGTTTTGTTTTTTTTGGTTTGTAAAAATCAATGCAATTCCAAAATCTTCAGAGGAATGTTTTGAAAATAAGGAGATAAAAAATCCTACTGTTTTGGTACGTGGAACAGTTGGATCAAACTCAACCGTAGAGAACAGCTGTTTGGGAGTTTTCATCGAGGAAACGGTAGGATGTTTTTTTTTGTATCCATCCAAGAGAGACATTGACTGAATAATGTTGTTGTTGTTGTTCCTTCCTTCAGATTGCACTTGATATAGAGAAGATGAATGCCTTTGGTTCAGTAGAACCGGAATCTAAAACCATTACGGTGAGCCCTAGGGACAGTCTGGATAAAGAGAAGATGAAAGTCGTTGGTTTAGTAGTACCGGAACGTAAAACCATTACGGTGAGACGTAAGGAAGTTCCTTGGTATTTGGTAAGATATGACATTTTCTTTTTTTTTTCTTTCTCAAATCCACAAACATATATATGTTACTTCTATTTTCACGATAGGATGATGGTACTACTCGAGTGTATGTATGTGGTTACCAAGGCGCCCAAGGATTTTATGATACATTAAAAGAGTACTTCTCTACTGAACCAGTGACTACATAGGTAAAATTCCTGGGTTCTGATGACAAAGAAAAAATGGTGGTTAGTAATTCCTTTTTGTCTTTTATTTCTCTAATTCGCCTGGGCGGCCTTAAATTGCAATGTTGGTGTATGTTTTTTTCATTTTAGATTACTGATGTTGATTGTCAGAAGTGTCTGCAAGTTCTTGAGATTGGCACGTATTTGACGGTTGTTGGTAGGGTAAGTTTAGTCTTCATGGTTTCATTTAGTAGCTAGTTGAATGTGAAAAATTTACTATTACATTTACTCTAGGCTGTAAGAGACAAAGATGGAGCTCGCATGATAGGACAGGCATATCAGTTCTTCAATGGACATATACAACTTGACGAATTTGTTACTGATCTGAAATCAGATTTGGAGTAAGAAACATATATATACATATATATATATATATATGTGTGTGTATTTACTCTGAATGTTTCTCTGTTGTCACATTTTGCAGGAGCGATGGGACTATATCCTTATGCGTAATAGCTCTGGGTGTGGTTTTGCTCGCTCTGAAGATAATTTAAATTGATGTAGATGACATCGGGTAAACGATCGCAGTGAACAACCTTTATATTACTGCTTTGTTTTGGTATTAAGATTTCATAATCTATTAGTCGCTGACTTTATATGTTTATCAATCAGAATTAAACAAAGAACATGAGTGTGTTAGGTAGGATAATGTAAACGAACATGTGTGTATATTGATCTTAATCTTATATGCTAGTGGGGGCTGTTATCTTTTATAATTTGTACTTTGAATTCAATTCAATATGGGGAATTGACACATTCATTTCTTTTAAGTTCTTGGAGAAGCAACGAATTTTGAACAGGAAATCTACCAACCTAAACTGTCAACAAGATTTGTAAAACTCATATTCTTATTAACATATAATTAATATCAGTGAGTATACACCACCAAACCATCCCAAAAGCAAGAAGTGTTATAAGCTTAGTCGTCGCAGTCTTTTTTTTACGTGGAGAACTCTGGAAGAATAGGCAGTACGCTCACAGCTAAAATAGACACACCAATACCTGTTAACCAAAAGAACACCTTCCGATAACACCTGCAAACATGAGAAACAGAAGGAAAAAAACTCTCTTAAGAGGAAACAAATATGAGGTTATCACATCTCCCAAATGAAGTAACGTCAAATGTTTCTGACACAAACATAAAAAAAAAAAAAAACGGACAGTCTCTTACAGTTTCCTCAGAAAAAACACACAAAGCGCCACTACGGGTGGTTTCTACGGTTGAGTTCGATCCAACTGTTCCAAATATCGCAACAACAGGGTTGCATAATGGCTTCTTTTCCAGAAGATCAACTGTAAAAACCCTACCCAATACTTTTAGCTCGTCTATTTGGGTGATTCTGGCTAGCGTCTGAGCGTTGCTGTGCCAAAGATATTATACGTGAGTCACAAGAAACACAATGAACTGAATAATGCTTTTACTGAAACTTTCGAACTTAAAAACTCTGTGTTCTCAGAAGAGTACAACGTGGTCTTATATAGACCTTATGAGCTGAAACAAATTCAAAACAAACGACTTCCTACTAATCCGTAAATCCTAAACCTTCTCAACAAACTTATTCAACTACTCCTACAGACTCGGACTTCTTCATGACTCAGTCTTTTATTCTTTGACTTCAATCCCTCCCCTAAACTGGAAATACTTCTTCTTCCAGTTTAGTAATACTTCACTCGAACCCCCATGTATCCTCTGAGTGTCTCAAACACTTCCAACTTCACAGCCTTTGTCATTATATCCGCCAACTGATCTTTTGTAGAGCAGAACTCTAGCTCAATCACTTCATCACTTACTAGGTCACGCAGAAAGTGAAATCTTACTTGAATATGTTTGCTTCTCCCATGGAATACTGGATTTTTGGACAATTTGATTGTAGAACTGTTGTCACAGTACAGAACTGTCTCTCCACCTTGATCACATCCGATCTCCTCCAACACATTTCTTAGCCACACTGCTTGACACGCTCCTGCAGCTGCTGACACATATTCAGCTTCAGTGGTTGATAAAGTGACTATGGGTTGCTTCTTAGATGCCCACGATATGGCTCCTCCTCCATTCATAAATATGTAACCTGAAGTACTCTTTCTATCATCTTCATCTCCTGCATAGTCACTGTCCACAAAACCAATCAATCTGTCTTTGTTGTTGTGCTGATATTGAATCCCAAACTCCAGAGTTCCTTGCACATATCTCATGATTCGTTTGACTGCAAGCAGATGTTGCTCCTTAGGCGTCTCCATGTATCTGCTCACAAGATTAACTGAGTAGATGAGATCCGGTCGTGTTGCTGTGAGATACCTTAAGCTCCCAACCATCTGCTTGTATGTTGTTGCGTTAACCTCAGAACCAGCCCCTTCTTTAGTGAGTTTGCAACCTTGTACTGTCGGATTTCTGACTGAATTGCAGAGCTCCATCCCGAACCTCTTCATCACTTCTTTTGCATATTTCTTTTGACTTATAAATATCCCTTCTTCATCTTGAATCACCTCCACACCAAGGAAATACTTCATCATGCCAAGATCTGTCATAGCAAACTCAGACTTCATTGATTCCTTGAACCTTTCCTTCATTATCTCAGAGTTGCTTGTGTAGATCAAGTCGTCAACGTACACACTGACTATCAACACGTTGTCTCCTTCCTTCTTCACGAATAGTGTATGTTCACAGTAGCACCTTTTGAATCCTTCCTTTGCAAAGTACCCCTCTATCTTGCTGTACCACGCCCTTGGCGCTTGTCTCAGCCCATACAAAGCTTTGTTAAGCTTGTACACCTTCATCTCTTCATCCTTTACCTCAAATCCTCTTGGTTGCTCAACATACACATCTTCTTTGAGTTCACCGTGTAGAAAAGCGCTCTTTACATCCAGTTGATACACACGCCATCCTCTCTGAGCTGCTACACTTAGTATTAGTCTGATGGTGTCCCACCTTGCAACAGGTGCAAAAACTTCATAGAAGTCGACTCCATGGGTTTGGTGAAATCCCTTGGCTACTAACCTTGCCTTGTGCTTGTCTACTTGCCCTTTCTCATTCAGCTTTGTTTTATAAATCCACTTAACTCCAATGACCTTGCTCCCTTCTGGCAACTCCACCAGTTTCCATGTGCTGTTTTCTTCTATTGAGTCCATCTCGACTTCCATTGCCTTCTTCCACTTGGCATGCTGTACCGCTTCTTCAAACTTCTCTGGGTCTCCCACTTCTGTAACCAGAACCATAAGGTCTTCTTCTTCTTCCATAAATAGACCCATCTCATAGTCTCTCATCCACACTGGTCTTGTCTTGCTTCTACCGGTTCTGTTCCTCTGTGACCCTTCTCCTGCTTCTTGTGCGGAGCTAGTGTTTGTGTCTTCATTGTGTGGTGATACTGCTTCATTTTCATGCTCTGCTGCGTCTCCTTCTGCAGTTTCATTTTGAGTTTCTTCTTCATCATGTCTTTCTTCCTCTACTGGTGTTATCTCTTCTTCCCCATCTACTTCAATGAACTGACTGTCTTCTGTACTCTCTTCCCAGTTCCACTGCTTGCTTTCATCAAACCTCACGTCTTTGCTGATCAGGATCCTCTTACCTTCAGGGTCATATAGGCGGTATGCCTTGGACTCTTTACTCACACCGAACATGACACATTTTATGCTCTTTTCATCAAGTTTCACTCTCCTTTCATACGGTATGAGAGCATAAGCAACGCATCCGAAGACGCGCAAGTGGTCAACTGATGGTTTCACACTGCTCCACCTTTCAGATGGTGTCACATTTCCTAGGATTGACGTGGGACTTCTGTTCAGGATATGCACTGCGTACTGTGCTGCTTCCGGCCAGTATTTGATGGGAACCTTCATGCCAAACATCATGCATCTTACCATGTTCATTAGACTTCTGTTCTTCCTCTCTGCCACACCGTTCTGCTGAGGCGTATAGGCTGCTGTCAACTGCCTCTTGATCCCATTCTCAACGCAGTACTCCTGAAACATCTTTGAGTTGTACTCACCTCCCCTGTCAGACCTCAGGCACGCTAGCAGCTCCCCACTTTCTCTCTCAACAGCCACTCTGAACTCCTTAAATGTCTTGAATGCCTCTGATTTTTCAGCCAAGAAAAACGTCCAACATTTACGACTGTAATCATCAATAAAGTTGATTATGTACCTCTTTCCACTCTCAGATGTAGGTGATATTGGACCGCAGATGTCTGTGTGAACCAGCTCCAGGCATCTACTTGCTCTCCACTTACTGCGCTTTGGAATGTTTGTACGGATTTGCTTCCCTTTCATGCACACCTCGCAAACTCTTCCTTTAGCAGTGAGTTTAGGTAAACCAGTCACCATTTCCTTCTCAGCCATTGTTGTCAAGTTGTCATGGCCTAGGTGTCCGAATCTGCAGTGCCAGATCTCTTCTGAGTCTTCAATAACACTCAACATACGTACTTCCTTGGCGCCTTTTCTTGCTTCTTTAGCACGTACAATGAACATTCTGTTCCTGGACATTGTTGATTTCATGATCATCTTCTTTTGTTGCTTGTGCCACACCTCGCACACGTCGTCATCTATCACTATTCTCAATCCCTTCTGTTGAAGTTGGCCCACACTCATCAAGTTGTTCTTAAGTCCTGGCACATAGTACACTGAAGTTATTATCTGACATATACCATCAATCTCCAATCTCAGATTACCCTTTCCTTCTACTTCCATCTTTCTATCGTCTCCCAGCTTGACTTGGTGCTGATAACTTCCATCAAAGTCAATGAACCATTCCTTCACACCACACATGTGGTTGCTGCAACCTGAGTCAAGGTACCACACATGCTTCTCCTCTGTCTTTAATGGATCACTCTGAGCCATCAGGAGCAGATCTTCCTCCATTTCAGCATAATTTGCATTCCTTTCCCACGTAGGGCACTCGTTTTTGAAATGCCCCATCTTGTGACATCGATAGCACTCGATGTTGTCTTTGTTGAAGCTGGTACCACCTCTGCCTCGTCCTCCTCTTCCACCACGGTAAGAGTTTCTCCCAGGGACTTGTCCACCTCGGCCCCTGTTTTCTTCCACCTTGAGTACTTGTTCTTCACTCACATGTTTGCTCAGGTTTTGCTCGTGTACTAGCAGTGAGCTTTGTAGTTCGTCCACCGTCATCTCAGTGATATCTTTAGACTCTTCAATAGCACATACCACATAGGTATATTTCTCCACTAGAGTCCGAAGAATCTTCTCAACAACTTTAGCATCCGGTATGTTCTCACCAAGGTTTCTCATGTCGTTTGCCACCACCATTATCTTTGAGAAATACTTAGTGATTGAGTCTCCTTCTTTCATCTCTAGTACTTCAAAGTTTCTTCTCAATCTCTGCAGTTGTGAGCTCTGAACTCTCTTGTTCCCCTGGTACTTGTTCTTCATAGAGTCCCAGATGTCTTTTGACGTCTCCTTCTTCACAATGGTTTTAAGAATCGCCTTGTCAATGGATGCAAACAGATAGTTCTTGGCCTTTAGATCCTTGAGCTTCTGTTCTGCAAGCTCTGTCCGTTGTGCACCGGTCAGAATCACATTTCTGTCTGTCTGCATTAACCCCGTCTCAACGAGCTCCCACCATTCCTTGGACCTCAACAGATTCTCCATGAGCATAGCCCAATGCTCGTAATCACCGTCGAACTTTGGTATGCGGAACTCCTTCTCACTCATCTTCACTTCACAGGCTTTGGATCACACGCTCTGATACCACTTATTATACGTGAGTCACAAGAAACACAATGAACTGAATAATGCTTTTACTGAAACTTTCGAACTTAAAAACTCTGTGTTCTCAGAAGAGTACAACGTGGTCTTATATAGACCTTATGAGCTGAAACAAATTCAAAACAAACGACTTCCTACTAATCCGTAAATCCTAAACCTTCTCAACAAACTTATTCAACTACTCCTACAGACTCGGACTTCTTCATGACTCAGTCTTTTATTCTTTGACTTCAAAAGAATTCAAAATCGGATCAGAAGAAATCCTTTTTTTTTTTCTAAACAGATATTAATTCGACTAACCTCTTTTCGTTGATACTGTGAAACCCAAATACGATGCCAGCGCTAATGCATGCGGCTGCAATTCCATGTATTTTTTCTTCTTTTTTACTCTACAGTTGAAAAGTCACTCCTTGTACTATTTACCAAAGTTTTTCTGGAGTACTAATCAATTACAAATACACATATGATTTCGTTTTGAAAATTATTTATTTTCAAATGATTATAGTCTTTTTTTTTATTTACAAAATATTTAGGACATTAATTCAACATTTCTTGTTTTCTTTCCAAAGTAATTGATATGTTTAAGAAAAATCTTCAATAGATAAAATTATAAATGCTTTTTAACAAAAAAATAATTATATTTTAAGCCGTTGTTATTACGTATTAGTCTAACCGATTTATGAGCTTTAGAAAAAACTGTAAGTTTGTTTCGCTTATGTAACTCTAAACTGGTGGATATTTCAGAATTTTCCTCCTAACTTTAGCTAAATTCAATTCAATAATTGACATTTCATTGCTTTTACGGTCCTGGAGAAGCAGATAATTTACATTGTTTTTTTTTGTTCTCTAATACTCCTCCTGTTGTTTAATGATAATCTGCTTCTCTTCTTGATTTTAACTTCTTGTTTCCTCATAACTCAAAAGTGTTAATCTTTACAAGATACCACGAGCGCCTTTTGTTTTGGCCATTACGGAATGGTATTAAAATTAAATAAGTTAATATAAATGGAAATGCACAAGCGTCTGTAGTCCAACGGTTAGCAGACGCATTTTGTTTTAAAGCTTTTTTCCGACTGCTTTTTCTTTTCAACACGTGGCTATTTGAGTACATGCCAAGTTCTGACAAGAGTTGAGTTGGATTTTGCTTTTGTCTCTGAGTTTGATAATCTGAGCGCTAAGATCCAAATGCAGCAAAGAAACTTTTGGAGGATGCTTGTGAAATATTTGGCAAGGAGATGGAGTTTGAGTTGAAACTACAAAACCTAAACTGATTTTTCAAGAAACCTGTGTTTATGCATTTAGACTAAGGTAAGAAGAAATTATAAAACCTACAAAAATGTTATGTCCCTTTTTGTCACATTTGGTTTATTGCTACTATGATGTCTAGTCCAATAAGTCTTTTTAGACAAACGGAAGTTTTTGTAGTCTATATAGGAAGCGATATCCAAGTAACAATAAGAATTTCTTACATTTCTTGCCATTAACCCATTCCCTTAAATAAACGACAAACAAAGGTATTAGACCTCATCATAACTCAAAGTATAGTCACATGATTTATATCATTAGCCATTTACAATATGGAACATCTTCAAGGTCCTTGGACTTGAATCATTCTCCAAGCACTTCAGCATGGTAAAAACATGGAATTCTTGCTCATTGTAGCCTTTTCCAAGATACCTGAGCGCATGAAAAAACATTCATTCATGAAAAAAATCCAAATTTTATACTTCGAGTCATTTTGGGCATGTTTTGTACATCTGTATGAAATTCTTCAAAGATAAAAACACACATAATATCAGACAACATAATTGGATGAACAAACATAAAATGAAAACATAGCTGACCACTTTTTTGATACTAGTGTCTTTTTTACAGATAACCAATTTGTCAAGAGAGAACCGTTTTTAACGGTGAAACTAAAGAAGATTGGAGAGACCGTTAATACACAAGAAAAACGAGAGTTCTACTAGGTCTTTTCCTTAACACAAAGAATCTTGAAAAAAAAAACACTTAATAATATGAAGATTCATCATTTTCTAAGGAACATAGCAATAACAAGTTGTTAATAATACCTGCTCACTGATAGATAAATGAAGCACTATTATGTGAATGGTTGAGATCAAGTGCATCCACTTTAGCAGGGACTTCAAAGGCCCAAGATAGTGCATCCACTTTAGCAGGGACTTCAAAGGCCCAAGATAGTATGAATATTTGATTGTACTGGTTTTGTTGATGTCAAATGCCACTTGTATGTATTTAAATTTCATCAATCTTTTTTTAAAAGCCTCTTAACACACTTTTTTGCATCTTTGAAGTTCAAATGCTTATTTGAAGTGTAACGTAAGTCTCCATCTTTATGTTTGAAAGAACATTTAAGAGATTTTTTATCCTACAAAGTTAATTGATTTCAAAAATAAGATATATATGATAAAACACAACTGAAACAACAAATGTTTACCATGAAGTGTAAGTAGAGAGATGTGGAGATTTCAATATGTAAGAAGCAGTGATGTTTATCTTTACATGAAGAAATTAAGAGTTGCTTACATGTGGCTTGAATAGATGAGTTGAATTTCGATTATACATGGCATCAACAGAAGATTTCCAATTTATCATGTGGTATTGATTCTGCAAAGGAAGTATTTTTTTCGTCATTCCCAAACAATATTTTTTTCGATCATTAACTATTTGTTTGTCATCTACAAAGGAACAAAAAAAGAAGAATATGAAAACATAACAAGGAACCAAGAAGTAAGATTGCCTTTCAATTTTCATGTATCTTTACAAAAAAATCAGCAGAAATCAAACACTTCATCATTGTAAAAACATGGAGTCATTTCTCATTGTAGCATTTTCTAGGAGATATGGTCAGATGAAAAATAGCTATTAGAAATAGTGCATTCATTCATTCACAAAATCCAAATTTTATATATTGAAGCATCTTGTGCAAGTTTTGTTCATATGTATGAATCCATGCAAAATAATAACACATATAATTTGAGACCATGAACAGAATGAAGATGAATAAACATAAAACCAAAACATAGCTGACCACTCTTGCCAATTGAAAAATAAACACTAGAGGTTATAATAAACACCATTAACCTTTAACAATAATAGAAAAGAATCTTCACAAAACGAAAATCTGTGAAAAACCCTTCGAGAATGAAAAGAAATTCACAGTGGCCTCTTAGGTTGAAATAGAAAGCAAATGAGAGATGAAGTGAAATTAAAACTCGAAATATTAAGGGGAAATAAAGACATCAGTCAATTTTCTTAAAATAAAACAGTGTGTTTTCTTTAGCCAAATAAATAACTCATCTGTGTCTATTGACCGTTAATTTGTGCCTTTCAACTCATACATTAAATATTCACAATTGCTCGTCAATATAGTTATTTAACATTTGATCTAACATTTTTAGATGCATGCTCATGGTTCTGATGCTTCTGTGATGCTCGTCCTACCATGGAGAGTGAGAGGGATGCAGTCTTAAACTTCCAATCAGCAAGAGGGTTTGAAGTTTTTGATCAAGCAAAATCCGCAGTGGAAAGTTTTTGTGTGGCTAATCTCCCATTACATCTTGCAGATATCTAACTTGTCAAGCGAGAATGATGTATTGATGAAGTTGAAAATGATTATTACAAATGAACTTCGAACATTTTCAATGTCAACTCTTACTCTTTAATCCTTAATCTCTGCAATATCATTCAAACCATCCAAAACCTCTTGCATCGTTGGTCGCTTCTTCATGTCCAGTTTGATACATCTTTTGATGAGTTTTCCCATTTGTCTAACCGCATTAACAGGATAATCGTTACCAAGTCTTGGATCGATTATACTCAGGATTTTATTCTTATCGGACAAGTAAGGTTTAGCCGAGATTGCACTTTTTATGTCTCTCACTCCTTTACGGAAAGCTTTTAAACCAGTTAAAAGCTCAATCAAGATCACACCAAGTGTATAGACATCGCTCTTCATCCCCAAATGACCTTAAGCATAAACATAAGTGTCTTTAACATCAAACCATCAAATTATTAAAATCAAGGGAAAAAGAGTGTACCTGAGATTACATATTCAGGAGGTGTGTAATCAGTTCTTCCGATGAATGCGGTCGTGATACTATCTTCAAACAAACGTAGCTCCTTTGATCCAAGATAAAACAGTTTCGCATTGTAGTGCTGATGAAACCCAATTAGTTGTTAATATTTTTTAGTTAAGGTCACACTTAAACGATAAGAGGTACACGAGTGGATTAGATGGTCTTTCAACATACAACCAATATTGACATTTATCTTATATATTACTACTTAAGATATTTTTCAATTTCCAATGTGAGGCATTGTCTTAGTTCTGTTGCGTACCTCGTCAAGGAAAATGTCATGCATTCCGAATTCTCGAGATAACGCTCTGTTATTGACCGTGTGGAGAAATGCAAGACACTGAGCTATTCCAATGGCTATCTTAAGCCGTATTTCCCAAGGCAGTGTTTCTTCTTCTGTTGAGAGAATCATGAGACTATATATTAAGAATCTACCCCATTTTTTAATGGATTCATTAATTAAAAGAGATCTTAACCTCCAAAAATATGAGCTTCAAGACTTCCTTTGTGGAAACATTCAAGAACCAAGAGGGATTCTTTAATTTCACAGCAGTAGCCTAAGAGTTTAACCAAGTTTGGATGAGAAATCTTTCCGAGTGACCTAATTTCTGCCTGCAACTCAATAGTTTTTGTGACCACCAGATACATACGTACAAATATAAATAAAATTGCATGAATATGGACAGATCTTGGTTACCTTCCACTCTTCTAGTTCCTCTGAACTATGTAGAACACAGTGCATGACAGAAACAGCGATTCCTGTTCCGTCTTTAGCTGGAGAATATGTGGTCTCATCGACGTATCCCTGGTAGAATAATCGACCAAAACCATTATTATCAACTACAAGCCTATTATTTCCGAATTTCTTTGTTAGTTTCTTCACTTCCTTGGAGCTGAAGACTCTCAGATTCTCGTTTTCTAGCTCTGTTTCCATATACAAATATAGATTTGAGTTATGTATTTAGATATTATATGTAAGCAAAAGTAAAATGCATTTAAAAACAGAGGTGTACCTGGAACTGGAGAGATGGTGAGAGGCTTTGGAGAAGTTGGAGGAGCTTGTTCTTTGGAAGATTTTAGACAATTTCCCATTGTTAGATGGAGATAATAAATTTGTAGATTTTTGTTTCAAGATCTGAACATATCTTCATTTTGGTTTTTAAGAGGTTGAAATTGATTTCAAGTGTGAATGTAGCTTCAGAATTCAAACCTTTGAAAATATCTCTCATAAAATGCCAAAACGAGAAACCCCAAAGAAAATCATTAAGTCAACAATAACTTACAAAAATCAGGTTCTCCTCTATTCATTCAACTATTTATTAATAACTTATAATAAAATATGTACATTAGCATAACGTTCCAATTTAGTTGCATACATCAAATTATTTATTTTGCTTTTGCTATTTTTCCAAGAAAATAAGGATTCTCCATTTTTTTCAGAAAATATATTTTTACCAACTTTTAAAAGACGTTTAACATATCCTTTAACTGAGACCCAACAGTTTTGTTGCTGTTGCCAGTAACAAATAAAAATGGCAATATACCGAAAACACAAACATATCAAATATCATTCATTACAAATGGAGTTGCAAATAAAAGATGTCAAAAGACCAGACTAATCTGCCAAACAACTCAGATTTGCACTCCCAAAAACTATACCATTTTTTTTCCATCATTTCCCCTAAGATTACCATCAAACTTCATTGATACAACAACACCCTCATTACTGTACTTATTATGGGTGTCCAAACATAAATAAAACATAAACTTCACAACCAAGGATTCATCAGATCAGGCAGATACAGTTGCATTGGGGATAACTGGTGCAGGTGATGCAATAACTTCAGTAGCTGCCTTCTTTTGTGTTGAAGCCTTTGAGGTTGAAGGCCCTGATTCACAGATATCCAGCGTCTCTGGGAGGTTTTCTTGAGTTTCATCGCTGTATATCTACACAAAGAGACATCATTACATCAAAACCCAAATGTAAAAACATGTATGACAAAAATATGATGTAGATGATGAACTTACCTCAAGCTGAGTCAGCATCTCAATGGTTGCTTCAAGGTCACCACTATTGGCTAGGTACACATCAGTGATAGACTCTTGTGAGAGACCAGAGAATGTGACCAGAAGGTACTCAATATCCATGTCTATATCCATCTCCAAATCCAAATCATCGTCCCTTGTCTGCTTGTAAGCTATCTCAGATGATTTTTCAGGCAAAGACACTTGAACACCTGCAAAACTTATCTCTTGTGTGGTGGGATTGGCAAACACGAAACCTTCCAAATCAGCAACATGGTCCACTCTGTTTGAGAGTGGTACGTATGATGCTGCATTCGGATTCAATGCAAATGCTCCTCCTCCTGGCTTCATTTCTCCTGTGTCTTGGTAAGAAAGTTACTGCCAAAAATTGAATTCATATTAACAAAACAACAAAAAGCACAAAGACAGAGAAGAGAAAACAATATAATAACTTGTGTAACACGGAAACGACAAAACCACTTGACAAACCCTAAGGTATAATAACACAAACGTTTCTATTACAAGACACAGACCGGAGAGAGATTGAACATATGACTAATAAGAAATGCTCTAGAGACGTTACATTTAGAATCTGGTCGCGTTACTGCATGAACAAATCGATGGAGGAAAACCTAATTGAGAAATCAAGAGAAGAGTCTCCACACAAGGAAAAAAAATGAAGGGAAGGAGGAGTGATTATATGGGGAAAGGATGGTCTTGACCTTGTCAACGGTGGACGTAAAAAGGACAAGGAGAAACGAAACATTAGGAGAGAAAATGAGCTTACCAGAGAATAAAACTAGCGTTGAAGATCGCTCGACCAAAGAGAGATGAGATGAGACCCTAAACGTGTCAATGGAAAGAGACAATTGCCACTAATGTAATGATGATGGTTATATATCGTTTTATGCGACTAACCAAGAATTAATAATTACGAGGACGTGGCCACCATTACTAGAATACAAACCGGAAATTAGATTCATTAATTCGGTTGGTTAAGTAATAAAACCAATTGATATCCATACTACTAATGAAAAAAAAAAACAAAGAGTGGACGGACAAGTAAAGCTCCAAAAACGCCATAGCCATGGCTCTTCTCTATCTTTTCAGGGAGTTCATCTTGAATATTTGTTAAATCACGCCACTAGCTTCGATGGCATGACATGCTTAAGAGAGATGTACATGTTTCTGTCTGAAACAAAGAAAAAATAACAGACAACTTAGCTTTTTTGTACAAGATGCTAGACATGTTCATCAACGCAGCGAGTCAAGAGATAACAATAACTTACACAAGAAAAAAAAACTAGATGATGCTGAAGCTAAGGAAGTTTAGGCTTGAAGTTAATCCGCAGAGATTTTTTCACCTCCAATTGCCGCTACAAAGGGTTTTAAAGATTCAGTTAATTATAAAAGGAGTTAGAAGAATACACACACAGTAATGTGTATAGTGCAAGACTTGTTTACCAAATCTAGATACCTTAATAACCGTTTGAAACGCATGGTCAGATCTAGCTCCGTGCAAGCACCATGCCATTGCCATTTCATATTCAAGGGTGTTCTGCTGAGAACCATGCGATGTAGACACTGTATCTCTCTGGAAACAAATATAAAGACCAATAAATGGACATAAACTTTTTAAAGGAAGGATGCATTTTAACTTGTGTATGAAAGTTCAGTGTAACACAATACCGTTTCTCGTCTCATTTGTGTTTTCTGAAGTTTGATATGGCCGCAGAAAGGTGACGGCATCCCTGGAGGATTAATCTTAGCAAACGAAGCAACAAGGGGCCTGTTAAAACAGAAAAAAATGAAGATCATAAGGCCCCCATGTATACACATCATAGCACATGGATATGCGATGAGCGGTATACCTCCCACTTGATAGCAACAAGCATCCTTTATCTAGTCTTTTAATAGCTCTTTCTGCAGCTTGTCTTGAGTTGAATATGACCAAAGCTTCACCTATACATAAACCAATGTGAGATGCCACAGTAAGGCTGCCTCATTCTATTCCTAGTAACTGAGAACCATAAAATTTGTAGCTTACCAGTATGAGAAATAGTGACTGATGTACGCTCTATCATTCTCGCTGTAGATTGCTCATGCAAAGCAGAATAGACTATATCCTGAAATATAATTCATAAGTTTCTTAGATAACATATAAATAGAGAGAAAGGAGTTTCCATGAGGTAAAACTTTAACATACTACCTGCACTTCATCAGATGTATAAGTAGGATCCAAGTTTTGAAGGAGAATCAGTCTCTCTTCCTTTTCTGCTTCCCTCATACTTTCTTCCCAAGGCTGGCCATGGTTTAGACAATTTTAAATTTCAGAAACCATCAAGAAAATTAAGAAACGAATATAGGATAAAAATACTTACAAGAGGTCGAAACCATTTGCTCTTTACCTGAGATCAACAAAAAGGAAACAAAAATCTATTAGAAGGAACCTCCATGCTTACAAGCACTGTGGTAACAAGTAACATAATGAGCAAATGACAGAACATCACTAGAACCCTACAGCATACAAAGGACTGTAAAAACAAAACTGCTACTACAAGAATCAAGGCAAAATCTCATGAAACAGCCAGTTCAAAACCAATGTAATAAATATAAACTTACAGCATCCGGCTTTTGTTTCACTTCAATTACTTGATAACCTCTTTCATAATCATCTGCCAACGTCTCGTCCTCAGCGCGTTTTAATAGCTTACCATCAAAGCTGGGTTTCTTGGCTAAACCTTTTTCAGTTGCAGTTTTTGCGTCTTTTCCTTCAGAAACTGACACCCCAAGATCTCGCTTCTTCTTGACCAAAGTGGGCTTCTCGGGAGAGACTTCATCTCTTGTCTCTTTGTCTCTAGGTCTCTTAAAAGAATCTGTATCTCTTCTACCATCAGAACTAATATCTCTAGGTCTCTTAAAGGAATCTGTATCTCTTTTACCATCAGAACCAATGTTCTGCAAAATGCTTGTGTTGCGTCCATTTGGTACTGTAACAGAACCATCTAGTTTCTGTTTCTTTTGTGGCCTGTCATCCAATCCGTTTGACTCTTTACTATATCTTTCTCCAGTGGGCATAGATTTTTGCTTAGTAAATGGGTTTCTAACATCATTTGCTTGAGGTTTCTCAGAATCGGAATGATTTACCCTGGAGCCAGAAGCTTCACAAGTATTGCTATATCTTGCTTCTGCAGGTAGAGATTTCTGTTTAGTAGATTGTTTTGCAACTTCATTTTCTTGTGCCTTCTTGCCATCACAATGATTTCCTCTAGAGCCAGAAGCTTCACAAGCGTCATGTTCTTTACGGTGAGCCGTGTTTTTCTGCACACTAGAATCCTTGTTAGACCTTTCTTCTGCAAGTTGACTTTTACTTTTTTCCTTCCTTTCTTCACGACCATAACTGCTTTCTCTAAGGTCAGAAGATTCAATAGAGTTGTCTTCAGTTTCCCGAACTGAACCACAAGCTAAAAGACCATTTGGTTTCAAACTATCTAGATTTCCATTTATGTCTTCTTGAATTTTCTGTACAGCGGTTGCTTCTTGCTTACTACCAGCTCTGTTGAAGAGCAATGTAACTGCATATGATGTAAACAAAATAATCAAGATATAGCTATTGATCACATAGGAGAAACATGGAAGCTAGCAAAATGAGACGAAAACAAAATGTACCGTCAACTCCAGCAATTTTATCATCTATAGTATCTAAAACTTTAGAACTTCCAACATCAAATGCTCGGCGAAATACAAAGTCTGCTGACTTGATCTCTTCATCTGTTGGTTGTGGATTCCTTTTGTCCTTTGAAATGCATAGAACAGAGCATTTTCCACAGATTGCTTCCTAGTGGAACAAAGTTTATCAGTAAAAAAGACAGGCCAACCATCAATACATAAGGAGGAGAATCAGTTACCAATGGGTTGACATTAGCGAGGCCAGGACCTTCACCAGATGCCAAAAACAGCTCCTTTGCCACTACATCTGAGACTCCTTCAAGTAAATGTGGCGAAATCTCAGAAGGTCTAAAGAACCATAGAAGCTTGACTTGCCTTGGATTCTTTGCACGCTTATTAGTATGTTCCCAAATTTTTATGATCTTGGCAACAAAGAGTTGATGAGAGTCTGGTTCATTGGCATCACCAACTAAGACAGAGTCATAAAGAGAGTATTCATCACCGTCAAAGGTGAAAGATTCATAGAACTGAACATCTTTCTTTTTACCACCAACTCCTCTCTTTTTACCCCACTTGAATTCTAATCCTTCATCTCCTGCTGCTGCCTCTTCCATCCTCTAAAAAAAGACAGTCTTTTACCTGGAATTCTAATTCCACATCAGAATTGCAAGCCTGACTACAAAAGCTAATCTATCTCAACAGACTAAGCAATGGTCATTAGCTTTGTACATTAAACTAAACAATCCAATACACTGGAATAACGTGCCACAACCAAACCATAAGTATCCAGGACTGAAAATTAATGTAAACCAATGAATAAAGATACCAAATTGGGGAAAAATAAGCATAACTGCATAGTAATGACAAGAACAGGAATGCATGCAAGTCAAGAACAAAAATATAATCAGTAACAGCAAGTTGGTTGATCCACAGATAGTATAATTAAAGAACAAAACTACCCAAAGGTGACATTTTTAATGCAATGTAGGCTAATAATAGTAAGCTTTAAGTGTTCTTGAAAAAAACAAGGATTAGCTGATAAACAATACCACTAGAAGTAACTTTTTTTACCTTCTTCACACTGGAGAAATCAAAGTTTCCAGTTTTCACTGGTGACCGAACAGATGATCGAAACCCTAGAAACCAAAGTGCTCGAAACCAGAGCAACGCGAGTTCGATTAGGTTATCCCTAATTGCTCGTGCAACGGTTACGCTACTTACTCCCCTCTCTCGTCTTTTATCTCTCGCTCAGGTTTATGTTTCTGTATAAAGTTCAAATCAAAATCTCTTGTCTTGTTATTCAAATTCTGTTGAGGGTTGTTGGAGTTTCAAGAGAACTCTGTAAGGGACGACACTCGAGTTATTGAATTGATGCAAGCGCTTGCTTTGTTTTTTTTTTTTGTCTGGGCTTCTCCAACTTTAAACGAATTCTATTTTTTAAGGATTATTTCCTTTTCCGATTTGTATAAACTAGGCATGGGCATTCGGGTAGTCGGGTCGGGTTCGGGTCAGGTCCAGGTCTTTTGGGTTTAGGAGTTTAGGATCCGATAGGATAATTTTAAATTTTCGGTTCCGGTTCGGTTCGGGTCGTACCGGGTCCGGATCGGGTCAGGTCTTAGATAGTTGGACCTATTCGGGTAATTAGAATTTATCGGTTCGGATTCGGTTCGATTTCGGGTAGAATTCGGTTCGGATTCGACCTTAAAAATACCTAAATGTATAAAAAAATATCTGAACATACTTATATATCCAAAAATATTCAAAATTTTATTCAAAATTTGTATTTTTATTATATTAAAATGTGTATATATATTAAACTATGCGTGATACAACAACAATTCGTTATCTCCTAGTGGTTGACCTCCTTACTCTCTATAGAAACAACCCCTCAATGCATTTTATTTAATTTACACTATTAATTCGGATACCCATCGGATTTCGGGTTCGGTCCGGGTCGAGTCCAAGACCCGCGGGTCCTCCACAACAAGACCCGATAGGGTAATTTGATCGGATCAGTTCCTACCCGTACCGGGTTTTTCGGGTCGGGTCTTCGGGTCCGGGTAAAATGCCCACGCCTACTATAAACGTCCATAAAAACCTTAGATAAATAAATTCAAAAGCCTAATATTATTATTTTCTTATAAATACTAGAAGCTAATCAAAACTAATTACGAGTCTTGATGACATGATTTTCTCCTTGGGACTCTCCATAATTTTTCCTCGGGTTCGGACCGGTTCTTTTCGGGTCCGGATCTTTCGGGTGTTAAACATTTAGATCCAATGGGTATTTAAAAATTTTCGGTTTGGGTTCGGGTCGGTTCTTCTCGGGTCCAGGTTGGTTCGGATCTATAATTAAAATACCCATAAAATATATGTATTTTTTTTATCTTTATCGGATCCGGGTCGGGTTTAGGTGTTTAGGATCTGAAAAGGACATGACATATCTAATTCCATCAAATTTAGTCGATATTTATCATATATATCTAAAATAGTACAAAATAACTTAAATGAAACTATTAATAATTAAAATAAAACATTTATATACTCAAAATTTTTCATTTTAAAGCTTCATATTACTTCAAAAAATGTTACGAAATAATTATAAATGTTGTTAACCAACAATATTTCAATTAAATCATAAAATAATATATAGAATACAAAAAAAATCATAGGATATAGATGTTTTTAAGTCGGATACAAATCGGTTCTTATTGGGTTAGATCTATTCGAGTCGGTTCTTTTCGGGTCCTGATCTATTTGGTCGGTTCGGTTTCGGTTCTTTCGAGTAAAACAAATTTAAACCCAATAAGTACTTATAAATTTTCGGTTCGGTTTCAGATCGGATAGGTCGGGTTTTTAGGTCCAAGTTAAAATGCCCGGACCTAATTTTTCTCCTCGGACCAGAAGATAAACGCTCATTGTTAAGAAGTTATGGTTTTGTGATTGAAGGATACAAAGTAATGTTTAGTTTTCGTTAGAGCCGAAAAGTTCTAAAGAATTGGGTTTAGAAATGCTGGGTCCGCGTTATATGGGCTGTGCAATTCCTCATCATAAACAAAATACGACACCGTTTTGATTCAGAAAATTAAAAAAGTGTATGCGGTGAGCGTGGATCGAACACGCGACCTTCAGATCTTCAGTCTGACGCTCTCCCAACTGAGCTATCCCCGCAAGTTGTTATGAAAGATATGTGAATTTTCTTAGACTAAAATAATACCTTAGTATAAAAAGTTTCAAAAGCTGTAGAGAGTATCAGCTACTCTAATCTTTACTGCAACTAGCAATGACAGAATACAAAAACAAAATTTAAGCGTTTCATTGATCAAAAACACTGCCCATGACATGGTACACTAACTGTTTTCTGTTGTACATAAGTCTCCTTCCTAATAAAGATAATCTGGAGAAGTGTGGTTGGGTTCTTAGTGTTTGAGCCAGTAGTTTCTTAGCTGAGCCATATGCAACAATATCTCGTCCCGGCCTTGATTTGTCACACTGCTTGTCATAATCCATGGTGGTGTTGTCTCAAAGAACCCTTGGATCAAATCTTGGAACTCCTTGATATTCTCCTCTGGCCTCTTCCCTCCGTTTTTCTTCTTCTTCCTCTTGTCACATTTCGTGAATACCATAGTCATTGGTACCTGAGATTATATATAAACAAAACAACAATTCATTCCACAAAGACAAGACTAGTAAAATCTTCAACATGATGAACAACTAACGGGTTTTGACCGGTTCCTTGATGTTTAGAACAGTTTCTTTCTTTTTTTATACCTGGTTTTGACCAAGCCAGTTAGCGTAGTCAAGATCGATTTGCTTTGGAGGAAGGCTGGCATCAATTAGCAAAAATACTGAGACTAATGTTGATCGGTTTAGAAAATAGTCTTTGGTGAATTTGTTCCAGTCTAGTTTGAGTTCATGCGGTGCTGATGCAAACCTACAAATATCACATGCATCAACTTCAAATTTATAGTAAAAGTCTGAGAAATCCCCTAGGACAATTGACTAAAAAAAACACACATTTTCAGCACATTCTCATATTTAGATTGTGATGGCTAGAGCCAATTAAAGCGGACTATGGCAATGGTCTCATAAGCAAATGAAAACAAAAAGATATGCAAACTTAAACTTACCCGTAGCCAGGTAAATCAACTAAGTACCAGTTGTCATTGATCCGGAAATGATTAATGCATTGCGTCTTCCCTACATGAATGGTAAATTATCAAGAATTAACTCTTGCAAGAATATCTTCTAAAGGAATCAATGGGCATAAACAATCCAATGGTAGGATTGCTTTACGGTTCCACATTAACTTCAGAAGATTTGTCCAACTTAACATATTGTAAGAACAAGCTACACCTCCACACTATAGAGATAGTCCTTCCAATAAACATCCAAATCCCAAATCCTAATGGCATGAAATTGTTATAGCAAGATCAAGCATAACAAATTACTTTAAAAAAAATCGCTAGAGTGACGCCACCTTGGTAAACATTAATACCACCTGAAACAAGTACTAGGAACCAGCAAATAACGATGCTACAAGAGAAATCCTGTTCAGTCTAACCAATTGTGTACTTATGTGTAAAATTGTTCTAGCAAGATCAAGCATACCACAATACTTTCCGTCAGACTGACGCCACACCACACCGTTGTAAACATTCACACATTCAAGTCTAGGATCCAACATAAGCCAATGCTACAAAGAAAATCTGTTCTGCCTAACCAAGCGAGGGTAGCATCATTTCGAACAACCAATTAAAATTCAAATGCTATAGAAGCATATCATATCTCACGAACACTACGAACTGAGTAGTTCACTGTGTCCTATAATTCAATTCAGATTTACATGAACATTTCAACCGGAAAAGCCAAGCTTCCCACTTAAGAGAAGCTACTATATCTGCAAGAAGCTATACTATTCACACCAAAGAACGAAGCTTTTGCCACTATACCTACTAAAGAACGAAGCTTTTGCCACTATCCCTACTAAAGAACGAAGCTTTTGCCATTATCCCTACCAAAGAACGAAGCTTTTGCCACTATCCCTACTAAAGAACGAAGCTTTTGCCACTATCCCTACCAAAGAAGGAAGATTTTTATCTACAAATCTAATCACATCTAAAACAATATAGGATTCAGACACCAGCTCAATACGGAAGCAAAACCCATCTTACCAGGTTTCTTAGAGGTCAAGGCAAGCCGTTTCCTTTTCACCAACGAATTAAGCAGAGAGGACTTCCCAACATTAGACCTCCCCACAAGCGCAAACTCCGGCAACCCATCACCCGGACAATCCTCCGTCCGGACACTGCTCTTCACATAGTCAGCCTGAACCACCTGCGCGTCCCTCGCGTACTTGCTCAGCACTATGTTCGAACCCTTCAGTATCCTAGCCGCTAGCGTCGACGAGTCTTCTCCCGAGATATCCGTCTCCGGGGGGATAAAAAGCTTGTCGAGCGGAATCTCCACGGGAGCATCTTCTAGAGTTGATGAATCCGAGATTGGTTCAACCGTGGCGAGATTCGATTTAGGCGCGAGTGAGAATAGGGTTCTGGCTAGTTGAACCGGCCGGTTAGGGTTTATGAAATTGAAATGCGAAGAAGCGAGGGAGAGATGGAACCTCGGAAGCTTAGTTAAAATCATTATCTGATTGATTCTCTTTCAGTTGCTTTATATCGGTTGTAGTCGTGTGTTGCAGTTTTTATCGGTCTTAGCGAGCAGCTATGGATGGATGTTTGAGGAGAGAGCATAATGGAGTGAGAAAGTCAGTGAGGAGGCGCAGCGTTGGAGAAAGTATCCGCAGCGAAACGCAGCGTTTTGGTGTTGGAAGCTGGACGAGGACGACTTTTCCTTATTTACAATTCATTCCGCTAAATATTTAGGATTTCATCAATTCGCCATTGTTTTTTTTATCAGAGAGTTCATTACTTAATTTAGTACAATAACGAATAACTTGTTTTCTACGGTACAAATTATAAAAATTATCGCATCTACAGTTTTACAACTGACAAACTATTATTTTTATAAGAACTAGATCCTTTCTCCGCGCTACGCGCGGATAATATATTTAATTTTTTTTAATTTTTATGCCAATTTTTGTATTTTAAATTATATTTAACTAATTTTTAAATTTGAATATTTTGTAATTTCAGTTTGCAATAAGTATTTGAATATAATTCATTGGTACTAATTTAGTTATATAATTATCTTCATTATACCATTAAATTTATACTATTGTCAAATATGTTTATATTATATATAATACAATTAAATAATAAAATATGAAGAATTGAGTTCGAGGTTTTAGACTTATGTAAAAAAACAATTATGCTTATAACTTAAATTATATTACTTTTAAATATAGGAATCTTATCTCGAGTAAATTCACGAAAAGAAAAAGTACTCCATTAACCTACTTAAAATATTAAACCCCCTTTTCAATGTANTTTATATTATATATAATACAATTAAATAATAAAATATGAAGAATTGAGTTCGAGGTTTTAGACTTATGTAAAAAAACAATTATGCTTATAACTTAAATTATATTACTTTTAAATATAGGAATCTTATCTCGAGTAAATTCACGAAAAGAAAAAGTACTCCATTAACCTACTTAAAATATTAAACCCCCTTTTCAATGTACTTAGTAATATTTTTTACGTATAGTAGTTGGAAACTGACAATTGAATATCATTCTAGAATATTATTTTAATATGTCGAATGCTTAATTATTAATTATAATAATTTTTTGATTTTTATAATATTACCTCAGTTAGAATTCTTTAAAATTTAAAAAATATTTTATTGACACAATATATTTTATTCCTTTATTATTTTGAAATTATAAAATATTGCTTTAGTTTTGTTTGTGTATTATTTTATGAAATTATTAATTTAAGTATATCCAAATATGATGTCTCATTTTTATATTTGTTTAGGTTGAGCATATTTAATTTGTTGTTTGTATATTTAATAACATTTTATTGTGTGCCGTTCTATGGTTGTAATAAATGTGTTTGTCATTTCACTCATTGCTACGAACATAATTTTGTGGTGATCAGTGATAATGTAATTTTAAAATTTTATGTATTATATTTTATCGTATATTTTCTATATATATTTTCCAATCTTTATGCGGTCATTTATTTTAAAATCATTTTAATTAGGTAATATGTTTAAAGATGTAAATAAAACTGTGTATGTTGTAAATTTAGAATTTTTAGCTTAACTGAGCATTATCAATTATGGAAATTATATTATGATTTTATTTTACTAAATATTTATTTTCGTGTATATTTTTTCGTATTTTTACAACTTTATTGTCTGATTCTTTAATTGCAGAAATTGCTATTTTCAATTTTTTTGTACCTTGATTCTATTTTTTCTTTGTTATTATTAAAAGGATCTGGTATTTTTTTAGTAATTTATATGATATCTATATTTTTTACTGTTTTGCTATAAAGAAAAAAGTTTTATGAAAATATTAATGTGACTGGAAATATTTATCACAAATATACAACATATTTTGATGACATATATTTTTAGTCATTCTTAAGTACTTATATATGAAAATTTTATTTGCAAATAAGTTGTATGTTGATGTCTGTATATATCATGTATTCATTGTTTAATAATTTAGAATATATATATTCTTCGGACGTCATTACAATTACTTTGTTTGACTAACATCAAGTAATGACTCATTTTCTCATAATTTTATTTTTGAGTAAATACATCATTTTCTCAGAACTTTTATCATGTTTTTGACTTCCATTTTTTTTCTTCTTCACTCAACACTGATTACACCATTTTTTTGATCCGCCAAGACAAAAAATGTTTTATGACTCCACCCAGTCGTTCTTCTTCATGTTCACATACCTTTAAAGTATTCTGTTGATTTCTGTTTGTTTTCTTTCTCCAATTAGAATGTATAGTTGGACCATTT